TTGTAACTGTATTGGAACAGCTTGGCTTGGGGCCTAGTTAGTTCTGAAGCACAGATCTTCTGAAGAAGGGTCCAGACCCAAAACGTCAGCTTTCCTGCTCCTCGGATGCTGCTTGGCCTGCTGTGTTCATCCAGCTCTACACATTGTTATCTCAGATTCTCCAGCATCGGCAGTTCCTACTGTCTCTCCACTATTACTCTGTTTCCCAATCACTCAGCCAATTTTCTATCTATGTTGCTGCTGACTTTTAACTCATGACCTATAACTTTCCTGTTATCTGTTGTGTGACAACGTATCAAATGCTTTCTGGAAGTCCACATACACCACATCAATAGCATTATAATCACCAAGCCTTTCCATTACCATTCACAAAAATCCAGTTAATAAAGAGAATTGCCCCCATGGACGTACATGAATAATCTCACTTAATGGCATAATCTGATTTATACCTATGGACATGTAAATTCAGTCTCCATAGTTAAAGCTGTGAATCAAATTTCATCTTTAATCCAGTCAAGAAATTCAAAAGTCCTAGATTAAAAGTACTTCCAAATCCAGTGTAAGACTGGATTCAACCAATAAATTTTTCATTTTTGGCACAGAATGAAACACGTACAAGAGATGTTCCCGACATGACAGACACTCATACCAGATTTCCGTTTCTCAAACAGCTTTGCTCACGACCAAACTTGACAAGTTTTATGCTATGAACTTGAATTTGGGCTATCAAGTTTATTTCATGCTGGTTCCTCACAACACACATACACACATTTATGGACATATTTATAAGCATGTCACGTCATTTCTACTACTCACATTGCTAACAGCATTACAAAAATTAACACAGCTGTACGATCTAGTGTCGGTTTATCGTAAATTTTATCCCTTCCAACAAACTTCATGTTGTTGAACCTTTGCTTTTCAGTAACAGAAACAAAACTGATCATTTGGTTTAAATTTGAGAATTATCACTGGTACAGCAACTTGAAAGTACCTGGAATATTTAAAAGTAGTAAAAGATTCCAAGGCATTTTACAAGTAAATAATTAGATAAAAACTGACACCAAGCTAAAAAAGGACATATTAATAATGATTAAAATCTTGTTTAAACAGAAAGGTTTTAATAAACAATTTTAAAAGAATCAATGATACAGAAAGCTTGAATTCCAGAATTTGAGGTCTATACAGCTGAATGCTCAGCTACTAACATTGGTGTGAATGGGGTGGAGGATGCAGAAAAGACGAGAGTTAGAGGAACAGGGGTGGAGGAGGTCACAAAAATAAGGAAAGGCATGGTTATGGATGGATTTGAAAATATGGATAAAAAGTTTAATCAATCTGGGGAGCCACTGCACAATGGCAAAATCAGTTTTCTACCATTTACGGTACTTTCAAGTTTGCACTTGAGGTTCTCGAACTTGATACCAACTTTTCGTTGCAAATAATCTTCAAGGTTTAATTGAATCTTGACACATGAAGCTTGAAAGCAAGTTATACCAAGAAATAAATAATATTATCAACTTTTGCTCTGGGTAGGGAATATAACCTTTGTCAATAGTATTCATTTATGTTGCTAGGAATTGCAAATAAAAGGCTCAAAATCTTTATGGAAGTCGAGTTGCACACAGCCATCCCTTAAAATGACACTATACTTCAGGTTTCTAACATATCCACAATATTGTCATGTTTGCCCATGATAAAGGCTTCCTGATCATCCTGAACGCCATTGATACATCATTAACTATTCCCCACACACAAAATCTCCCTGACAACAAAGCTTCTGACCGTTAAAAGGCATCCATACCTTGAACAATCCTAAAATAAACAACTTCATCCATTTTATTTCTAGCTATATGACAAGTCTACAAACTATTCATTTATGAAAAACCATCATACGAGATTAAACCAATCCCTATGTATATTAGAAGGCTTTTTACACATCAAAGCAAATGTGGCAACTTTAGTAGGGAGCATAACCAGGATGGGACAAAGTGAAAATTTTAGTGGGGCTCAAGCATGACATGCCAAGGTGAGAAGTGATTGAGCATGTCAACTGTTACTGTTCGTGATTAGACACCATTCTTTTTAGAACAGATACAGGACATGAGCATTTTTAGAAAAGCACAAGTGGTAAGCGATCTGCACATACTTGGTACTCAAGTATCTTAAATTGTTAACTTTAATTTTATTAATTCATTGGATGAGAGCCAGGCCAGCATTAGTTGCCCATTGAGCAGTCAAGCACATTGCTATGAATCTGGAGTCATGTTTAGCCAAACCAGGTAAGGACAGCAGTTTATTTCCCTAAAAGGAATTAATAAACCAAATGGATTTTTCCCGGCAATCAGCAATGGTTTCACATTCATCATTAGACTTTTAATTCCAGATTTTTAAAAATTAAATTGAAAAACCATGGCAGCATTCAAGCTTAGGTTGCTAGAACATTACTTGGGTCTCCTGGTTAATAGTCTGGCTATAAAACAGTAGACTACCAGCTCTCCTAACTTGTTAAAATGTTTTTCAAACTATACATTGCTCTCACACACAGCTTCAAAGTGTCTAAAATTGGCTTCAACATTTCTGCAACAAGAGAAGGAAAATTAGCTTTGGTTTCGTTTTTGATCGTGATCTAATGAATCCTGCCAGAACCTGCTGATATGTGGATTTTAGATGCCAGCAAATAGACTCAAAACTGATAAGCGCAGCAATCTATTGTTACTTAACATCAAAGTCCAAAACGAAGAAAAGCTAGAGCTTTGATAAGATCCTATTCCACATTGGATACACTAACATATACATTTGGAAAGCTTCATTTCAGAAGAAAAAAATTGCATTACAATTTTACACTTCCTCCTTCAGCCTGAAAATGCAATAGGTTTAATGTAAGAAAATATGTCTCCTAAAAACTTCAAACTGAGAGAACTTAAACTGCACTTAAGCCATCTTATCAATGCAAAACCAACATTGGCAGTTTCACGGTTACACTCATCAATAAACACCTACTTCCTTTACAGATATTCAGGGCAGTTAGACATTAAGTTTATATTGAAAGTTTCAAAAAGCTTCAAAAGAAAACAAACTTAAAGTTACTAATTCCTTCCAACATTAAATGAAATGATGGAAGTCGCATGAATTCACGTTCAAGAACTGAGCACTCACTTCTATGTTGCCGCCAGTTTGAAATGCACTGAAAACTAACAGAAAGCCACATCCCAAAATTATGACATTCATGAGTTTTGTTCCTTCTGGTGTCATTGTTAAACATCTAGGTATTTGCTTGTTGCGCTGTTTTGTGGGCTTGGTAATAAATTTTAGTTTTGACTGGCAAACTTCAAAGCGATATTCTTCCAAATTCCAGCCTTTCGGTTGCAATGAGAATTTTGTTTGGTAAAAAGACTGATTCTCACTCTCTTTTCATCGTCACTCACTCCGCTTTCTTCTACTGCTCCTCACTCACTCACTCCGCTTTCTTCTACTGCTCCTCACTCACTCACTCACTCCGCTTTCTTCTACTGCTCCTCACTCACTCCGCTTTCTTCTACTGCTCCTCACTCACTCACGTCGTCCTTCCACTTCCCTCTCCTTCTTCCTCCCTTGTTCACTCTCCTCATCAAACACTCTCTCACTCCCTCCCTCCCAATCCTACTCACTTTCCACCCCACTCCCTTCTTCTTCTTCCACCTCACTCACTCAGAAATCACATCAACCAGGACAATACCGGAAACGCCAAGCGCATGCGCCGCAATCGGAAATTAATGTTAGTGTTTGAAAATTTTTCCGCTCAAGTGGATTTAACTTGGTGTTCCAAAGCCGTCGATAACGCCCCGACTAACGATTTCCCGCTCGACAACGAACGCAATGTTGAACGTCGTTGGCAGCGATGAATATGAACCGAGTAGAGCAGGAGGCGGGTAAACTACAGTTCCCAGGGGGCGCCGCGGTTGCGCCGATTTAATTCCTGAGTCAGTGACGAAACAAAATGTACAGAAATTATTATGTTGACTTTAAAACATAGAGTGCAGCGAAAAAATTCTAATTGAAGTTGAAATGTACATTTTTGGAACATCCTCTCCCTCGCCGTTTGGGTGTGTTTCCGGGTCACGCAGGCGCCATCTTGTGATTGTCGTTGGGCCAGGCGCTGGTTTTCTGGCGGTTTTCTGTATAGACCCGGCGCTACCACAGTCTCCTTCTAACCTCCTACTGTTCGGACACTAGATTGATTTGTAGCGATGAGTTACGGCCGAATGCCCCCCGATATCGAAGGGATGACTTCACTGAAGGTGGACAACCTAACTTACCGCACGTCGCCCGAGACGTTGAAGCGCGTGTTCGAGAAGTACGGCAAAGTGGGCGACGTTTACATCCCCCGAGACCGCTTCACCCGGGAGAGCCGCGGCTTCGCCTTCGTCCGGTTCCACGACAAGAGGGACGCCGAGGATGCCATCGACGCCATGGACGGCGCGATGCTGGACGGCAGGGAACTGAGGGTGCAAATGGCGCGCTATGGCCGCCCGGCCGAGTCACACCGCCGAGGAGGCTCGTCCCGACGTTACGGTGGCGCCTACGGCAGGAGAAGCCGCAGGTTGGTGGGCGAGAAAGGGAGGGGAGGGTGGTGGCATCGCCGTGCTTTATTGATTCTACCCGCCCCCAAAAGTTTTGTGTGGCGGACTGAATAAGACATGATCAAGCGCCCCCCCCCCCCCCCCGTCACCCATTCCTCTATAAACTTGTGAGAGTCGCCATTTCTTGGGGCTAGTCAAGAGTTCTCGGGAACAAAAACAGAAGTTGCTGGAAATGCTCAGCAGTTCTGGTAGCATCTGTGAAGAAGGAAAAAAATCAGAGTTAACGCTTCGGGTCCGGTGACCCTTCGTCAGAATTTCGGGAAATTGCTCCAGTTGTCAGGGTAGATATCGATTTCAACTTGTTCAAATTCGGCTGATTCTCGCCGTATAAACCTGCCTCGAAAAGGCAAGTTTTGGTTTAACTTCAAATCAAAAGGCTGGTTAGATTTTTATGTAACTAGTTTCGTTTCTTTTATCCCAAGTAGATACACATTTTCCTTTTTAACAGTATTTTTTTAAAATCTGTATATTGCCAGCTAATAGATACCGCGCCGAGGGAGGCTGTTTTCACAGGCTCTAGACAGTTATTAAAAACTGACTCTTTTGTTGCTCTTCTTGAGATAAGGATGTGCTTTACTGAGCCTGGGCGCAAAGAGTTTTGTATCGTACAGTTATCACTCCTGAGATACCGTGAACTAACTGGAGCACTTGGTTAAAGACGCGTTTATTTCATTTACTCGTGGTTGAGCAAATATTTAGGAAGCCGAACAGTTATAACAGACAAGTGATACCATTTTTGATCTCTCAACATTCAAGGGAGAATTGAGATCAATAGTAAACGTATATAATGGACGTTTCACAGAAATGAAGCATGTTCCTAAAAAATCTGTTGCACAGCATTGTGAATTCCGTTTGGAATGGATTTTATAGACTTAGTTTCTGAAGCATTCCTTGAGTTTTGACCCTGATCTAGTTTATTGAGTTCCATGTATTTCTTTGTTCTAAGGAACAACTGTTTCTTATAACATACTATTTCAAACAATGTAAATCCCTGCTGGGGGGGGGGCTTGGTTGACTTTTTGGCTGTGTCAGCTTTTAGTAATGTGGGGACAACTGATTATCTGTGGGTGCCTTAGCCTTTGCATTTGGAGAGAGGTGATGCTAACCATTCTGCTTTTTGGCAGCTGCAAATTACAGACACAAAGTGGCATTCAATAATTAAATTGTCACATGGGAGAATTGCATGGCTAAAATGGTTTAGAGATTTCATAGAAAAGCACATGTTGCTGGAAAAGCCCAACCTGGACCCAAAATGTTAAATCTGATTTTGTTCTTCACAGATTCTGCTAGACCTGCTGAGCTTTTCCAGCAACTTCTGTTTTTGTTCCTGATTTACAGCGTCTGCAGTTCTTTCGGTTTTTATTTAAAGATTTAATAGTTGTCTTAATTTCCCAATGTGCATGGGCTTATTGTTTTTAATATAAACCTAGTGAAGTGAAAAACTGTATTATGTTGTGTTTAATGAGCTCAAGATGGAAAGAGTGCTTATGGATAGGTAACAGTGCCTCTTGGAAAGAAACATCTAGGTGGATTTCAGGTGGTGGAAGGTTTGTCATCTGCATTGCCCCTTGGTTACATTTCCTATCATTGTGAGTCACATACACAAATTAAAACTTGCACTTCAAGGGAGGCATTGAGAGATGATATTACCTATGAAGCTCAAATGCAGACAGCTTTGGGTGTAGAGGGCTGTGAAAATTGGCAAACAGTGGTTTTGTCAGAGATTTCATACATTTTTTTGTATTATTTTCCACTTATTAATCTTACTAAAACTTTTTCCTTTCTCAGTCCTAGAAGACGACGTCGATCCCGTACAAGGTCCAGAAGTCGAACTAGATCAAGATCCCGCTACAGCAGGTCCAGGTCTCGCACCTATTCTCGATCTAGATCTCATTCAAAATCGAGGTCTGTTGAAAGATCAAGATCGAAGTCAAAATCTAAATCAAAGTCAAGGTCTCGGTCTGTATCAAGATCTAGGAGTGGATCGCAAATGTCTCGAGGATCAAAGTCAAAATCCCGGTCTAAAACCCCCATATATTCAAGATCTCCACAGAAAGATGGAATTGAATCACCGTAAAAAAGTGGTAAATTGCACCAAAGTGAGTAAATACACTAAAGTAGTAGCATTATTTTTTGAATCATTCTCGAAAGTAAAAATGCATATTTATGGCTTTAAGGGTGAATGAATGACTAAACTATTAAAGTTGCTTTTGGTTATTGAGAAATTCTTAAAGGGGAGGTCTTGATGCTGACTCCATTGAATTTCCATTATTAGTCATGGGGGATAATTTCCCAACTACCGTTTTGTAGTTGAAACCATTGCATGTTAGTTTATCAGTATGTATGTACCACTGTTTGTGCAGCTGAAACGTTAATTCCTGAATGCCAATTCCACACGGACAGTTAGTAAATAGTACTGCAGACTGAGTAATCCTGCGTACTTGCATAATTTGTGAATTAATGACTTCAGTTTGATCAACATCAAGGAATGAAAGTTCTGTCATTTCCTCTTAAATGTGACATTTTTGATTGAAAATCTGCAGTGTTGTGTATTGACCATGAGCCATTGTGATGCTGGTGGTTACCTCTTTGACACCCGCTTTGGTTAGCATCAGTGTGGGGGGGGTGGTGAAGAAACATTTCTGTGGAGATAATTCCTGCTTTTATATTTTAAAAAGTGTTTGAGGAATTGATTAACTTGCATTTTTTCCTATTTAGCAGGGCTACTGGCCTGGGGGAGTTGCTGTGCCCAGCAGTGTGAGAGCTGAATGAGCAAACAGTTGAAATAACAGTTGAAGTCATGATGCCAAGATGCTGTCTCTTCTGATAATTTGGCTCCTTCACACTTCAGGCACAGTAACTTATTCAAACCATTTTCCTTAGTTTGTCATCCACATTCGGATTTGAACAGCAGCAGAAAAAAAAGAACTCAAAAAATATGGTACTTCATGATCTTTCTTTTAAAGAAGTAGTGATATGGATATTAAATTTTTATAAAAATGATGTATGCTGCTGGTTCCTCTTGTGGCTGGAGAGACTTTGTGAGCCCTGTGCACTCAAATCTTGTGAATAATTTTCCTGTCTGAAGCTTAATGGTAGGTAAAAGCTGTTCCAGGGATGAATTAGAGTCTGGAAAAAAAAACCCAAGCAGAGCCAAAAACAAATTAGAATAACATAAGAATGAGAACATCAGAAATGGAAAAGAAAGTGGTTTATGGTTCAGATTGCCTCAATCTGATTGCCACTTGTTTTACTGAACAAAGTGAGACTTTGACCACTCCCTCCAAATTTTGTAGTTCACTTTTTTTTTGAAATGAATACCCAAGTGGGCAGAAGATATTTAAATTTAAAATTTTAATGATTGAAGTAGATTTTAGATCATGTGGGAATTTTATTTTTCTAATTTTGGCAGGAGTAGATTCCTCAAAACTCTAGAGAAAACAGGCCCAGTTTTCTCAATCACTTTTGAAATTATGCAGCAGGTTATGGACACAATAACACAATATTACATTGAATAGTTTTTCTGACACTTATTTTCCACAGTAAACCTGAACACTGTCAACGATGCACCTTGTCGTCAACCTTGCTTTTCCACTGATTCCCTTCACCAGAAGAGTAATTATTAACTTGTACAATTGCAGGCATATCACTGGCCTTGTTTGAGTGGTTATGCTGTCATTGGGCCAAGTGGTCACTTTGCTTTCTGTCCTCCACTCTTGAGTGCTTGACCTCGTGCACTTCTTTTTACCCCGTACCTTTTCTCGCACACAGAACTTCGCTTAGTCTGCACCCTTTCTTTCTGTACTCTCTCCCATGTTTATTTGACTTTGCATCTAACTTCAGCCTGCAACAACCAACCAATCATTTCTATAACCAAGCAGTGGAACCTCTGATGTTGGAGTGCTTAGCAGTAGTCATCTACAGTTGGGTGACACCTGGGGTTTTGGGGCTTCATGAGGGATTTCCATGCACAATCGATATCATTGTATGACAGGTTTAAAATCATTAAGTTGGTTCAATATATGCATTAATATGTTCCATATCTTAATACTCTTTTTAATCACCAAATGGTAAATGTCAAACTTCAAACCTTCATGCTATCTCTCATCTTATGTTACAATACGTTATCTTGTTTAATTCCACAATCCCCATTTTTGGAAGTAAAATGCCTAGGATTGAAATGTTACCTTATTATAAAAGTGAAGTCATTATTTTCTATCTTTTAAACGTTTTTATTTGCAATTGTTATTTTAGCTTGAAATATTTGTTTGAATGGAAAACACCTTGGTTCACAATGCAAGTCATTTTTTGGACATTTACATTGCTGATTGCTGCAGATGCTCAATGAATGGTGAAACTGCATCTTGCTACCATGACAGCAACAGATTACAAATAATCATGTCATGTGAATCTTTTTTATCCAAAGTAAGGTTTTAATTTATTGTAACCTAACATTTTTCAAAGGTCGTAACACAACATGGCACAAACACTTTGGACCTAAAATTTGAGAATCACAAATTTAATATAATCTTCGTGTTATTTTTGGCAAGGCTACAAATATTGCTCGGCCCTGGTTGCACTGAGATTGTGGTGATGGATCATCTTTAACTGCTGCAGTCTTTGTAGTAGATTCACAGAATAGTACAGTTCAGATGCTTGAGTGGTATTGGGTGGGGTCTTAAGATTTTTATCCAGCAATGATGAAGCAAGTTATTTTTAGTCCCAAGTCAGAATCCTTTCGTGTCTCTGGGATCATGATGATGTATCCATGATTTTGCTTCTCATGTTCTTCAGGGTGGGAGAGGTCTTGTGGCAGGTAGGTGCTGTTGGAGTAAGCTTGATGAGTTGATATACTGCATCCTGAGGATTATATGTACTGCAGTCGCAACAATACACTGGTGAAGGGATGGATATTGAGTTCACTGGCAAGGGTGCTGAGCAAGCGGATTACTTTGTCTTGGATAATGCCACTTTTCTTCAGTTTTGTTGTGGCTGCATTCACCCAGGCAACTGGTGAGTATGTTATCAAGCTCCTGACTTTCAAGTGTGGAGTTAATATAGATATTGAAGTCTTGGTTTAATATTACGATTACAATGCAGTCAGGTACAAGCTGATAAAACAAACTCTTCTTTGTCAACCGTTAAAAGGATTGTATTTAAATGATGACAGATATTGTCTTCTAAATGAAATGATTGGTAATTACATCTGCATGACAGACGAGCATTTTATTCAACTTGCTAATGAGTATTGCCAGTTGTCACCAGCATCCATTTTTTTCTCTGCATGAGAAAGTTGTTGATTTGGTTTTACTTAAAAATTTGAGGTTTAATATTAATGGATACAAATATCCATAGAATGGATACAAAATGAAAGAAAGGAATTGCAATGAAGTATTAAGGCATCTAGAATTTTTGGTTTTATAGATAATACTGTAGGTTTTAATCATGATAGTGGTGATATCAAGACTTGTTTTGTGATACTAAGTGGGAAGTTACACAAGACTGGAATTGAAAATTGCACTTTGTAAATAATTTTTATTGGATTGTGTTTGGTGTTCCAGAAATCATATTAATATTCTGTTTATGCAGAGTTTTATTTGCATGATTTCAAAGCTTTCAAAAAAGTTTTTAGACAATTTTTCATTCAGCAATTGCAAAATTGTTAGTATTAGCTGCCTTACTATTTCCTGTGCTAACATTTTGACGTTATGGCAAATTAAATATTTGTTCCAGAGGCAGCCTTCAGTGAGGCATACATGCAAGCTTTGATAGTTGAAATGGTGTTGGACCTTTTTGTTATTTAGTTGTTCATATCCAATATCATGTTACCTGAAAGTTGCCCTCGAGAATCCCATAAGTATAAATTTAATGGAATGTACTCTTTGGGTGAAGTATACTTTTTAAAATTTAATTATCCTGTTGTAAGAACAAAAGGGAAAAGCTTTTGTGCTGAACAGGTGGACCCCTGTTTGAACTAAGTGTAACTTCTACAATTCTAGTAAGCAAGGTTATTTTGGATATTTTTTAACATTTGTGAAGGAGATTTTTTAAAAAAGTTTAATTTGTCTGTTTGTTCTAGATATTCTGGATGGCTGGAAGATTTACATGGTAGATGCCTTGCAAGAAATACCAACTCTTGACAACTGTTTAGGTGGTGGAGAGACCTTCCTAAAATAAGCAGTGATCTACTTAAAAGGTTATTATAACATTATTGTTTATAATAGGTTTTGTCAGTTTAAGTCTTGAATTAAAATTAGTGTCTGAGAAGGCTCATTATGTGTTATGTGCCATCTGTGTTGCTATTACTTAAACTTCTTACAATTTAGTGAAATGTTCGACTTCAGATGCATTTTGGCTTGGATATGTACATAAGGTAAAAAGCATGGAACGTATTTCCAGGTTTTGTAAAGTTTTTTTTTTCTGTACGCTGAAGTAATTATCTTTCTAAATTTCAACTTTGCATATGTCTTTTTCTGTTATTTTTATTTCAGTCTAATACTAATCTTATTGTCTCATGTATTTTTGTGCACTAGGCGCAGTTGTGTAGCAGTTCTGTAAAGCGGGTTAGCTGTAAGGTGGCGTGTTGCAGTGCAGTGCAGAGTGCTTGGCTGTGTCCTGTATTCTCCTGATTGCTCCTGTAATGATGCCTTGACGTGCAGAAAATATGGCTGTCCAGTAAAATGCCTGTCAGCTGCACCTCCAGAGACGTGGCTGCGTGTAAATTATGGAGCAGGCAGTAAGCACCTTTAGCTACCTTGTTTTTGTACTTGGTAATGTGGTTTATCCATTACCACATGGAATACACTGTTTAGAATGCTGTTAATTTTTGAAATTGAGTGTAATTAACAGTTTTATTAGCTTCAGTACATGAATCCTGTACAACTTGTATGTCTGTAATGATATTAAAGATTTTTTTTCTTGGTGTTAATTGTTCCATGTTTATAACTGTTAAAAGCTGTTTTCTGAATACATTCTTCAGTGATCTTGGGATATTGACTTAGACGTGTGGTTGCTCGGTTGAGCTACTGCAGATGGGAACTATTGTTTTGATTTACTAAATGAAAACAATTGTGCAGGGGAGAAATTGTTGCTTAAATTCAACATCTCACTTTTTTAAAAAAATCAGTTGATCTGCTTTGAAAATTCTTAGACCATTTTGGTAAACATTAAATTTTGACAATCTTTAAGGTTAAAGTTTATCTTTGTAGCTACTGTGTGCATGGATCCAGAGCTCTTGTGCTGGAAACTTGGCACAAAGCTTTAAATTAATTATTTCCTTGTTCATAAAAACCTGACCTCAATACTTGGATATTTGAAATGATTTTTGCTCCACTGGGAAATAATCATGCGGTTCTAACTTAAGCTAAGCCTGGTCTTATTTGCATTGCATTTGAACTGAAAAACACAAGATTCTGATATCATTGGGACCTGTCCAGATTTCAGTTAGAACTCAAAATTTGCCACAAATGTGCTAAACAGATCATTTCATACAACATGCAAAGGTAACTATATTTGTCCAGAGCTTAGAGCAATTTTATTCAGATGTATCGCACAGAAAGAAAAATGCTGACCAGACAACGAAGCATTACATAGGGATCCTTCAGTACTTGTATTGCAGAGTGATGACCATAGCACGGCTGGGAATAAATTGAGTTGCACATGCAATTTAACTCTGAAGTCTCACTTCTGGTTGTCAGAGCTTTTCTTGATGTGTGGGAAGGACAAGCTGTAAACCACATGATGTTCGTTGGATAAAAATAGTACAATGGAAGAAATTGTAGCCCTGGCATCCCTGTCTGCCAGAGATGTTGGGCAGACCCCCTTTTCTGGTCTTGATATTTTAGGAGATAGCAACAGTTCAGTTATCTTAGAATGTTGTTACTGTATTTGTAAAAATATACAGTAGCTACATAAATACTCCACACTTGAATCTTGTCACCTCTTTATATGTTGAATAGTAATGAAATCCTTTCTCTTAGACACTGAAAAATTGTCTTTGGAACTTTACAGTAGTATACCTGGTTGCATAGTGTTGGCTGTACCTCTGCACGATGTGACTATTCAAATGGGATTTTTAAGACTTTACACTACTCGTAGAATGGAATTTTACATGCCGTAAGATGGAAGCTGGTGATTCATGCTCCCTACTCTGTGGGTTGTGTGTTTTAATATGGGATCAAATGTGTTTTCAGGCATACTGCAATATAACTCCAGACAGTAGTTTTGCCTGTTTGAGAAATATTATCCTAAAAATTTGTAATTTTTTCATAGCACAAATTTGCTCTAAGGTATAGTTGTATTTGTAATACATGTGCTAGATATGTAGTAAACATTTATAACATTTCATTTGGAAATGTCATCTGTATTGTACAGCAATTTTTACAGACATTGTAAGCGCTCAAACCTAAATCTTGCTGTTGACTGGGGAAAAAGGTGTTTGTATTCTCCCTCAACTTGCTATTATGGTTACAGTACACCAACCATGAAAAATTGATGTGTTTTTAAAATGGAGTGGGAAGCAGAGCGATTGGAATTCGGCAACACCAGCAGCCAAAACTTTTCTGTTGGCAACTTAGGCCCCATTCCTTGTTATAGTTGGAATGTCATCTGCATGCTGCTAGTGAAACCAGCTGGCAATGTCATATGTGTAAGAGCTGAAATTTGGGTGAAGATACCCACTTTCCACAACATAGGCTACCAGGGCAGAACTGACAGCCTTTGGTAAGATTAGATTTTTGAAGTCTGGAGTTGCCCTTGGCTTTGCATGGAAAACATGAAACAACTTTTCACGCCCTTTTTTGGCCTGTTCTTGCTGTCGTAAGCTGGTGAGGAAACATCAATAATTAAAATCTTTGGATGCAAAAACTGCAGATGTGAGCCTGTTATAATAGACAAATGAAAATTAAGACTTATTTGATTTCAGGTGAGTTTAAAAAAAGCAAATTAAAATAAATAACAAGGTGTAGAGCTGGATGAACACAGCAGGCCAAGCAGCATCAGAGGAGCAGGAAAGCTGACGTTTCGGGTCTGGACCCTTCTTCAGAAATGGGGGAGGGGAAGGGGATTCTGAAATAAATAGGGAGGGGTGGGAGATGGATGGAAGATGGATAAAGGAGCAAATAGGCAGAGAGGAGATAGGCAGGGATGGAGCCAGTAAAGGAAGGTGGACAGGTCAAGGAGGCAGGGATGTGGGTGGGGGTTGAGATAGGAGGAGTGGACAAGCTGGGCTGGTTTTGGGATGTTTTTGGAGTCGGGGAGATTTTGAAGCTTGTGAAGTCCACATTGATACCATTGGGCTGCAGGGTTCCCAAGAGAAATGAGGTGCTGTTCCTGCAACCTTTGGGTGGCATCGTTGTGGCACTGGAGGAGGCCTAGGATGCACATGTCGTCCAAGGAGTGGGAGGGGGAGTTGAAGTGGTCCGCGACTGAGAAGTGTAGTCGTTTGTCACGAACCGAGCGCAGGTGTTCCACAAAGCAGTCTCCAGGCTTCCGCTTGGTTTCTCCGTCCCCGTCTCCTTAACCTGTCCATCTCCTTTCCAAGTATCTGCTCCTTTATCCATCTTCTATCCACCTCCACCTCCACCTCTCTGTCTTTATTTCAGAATCCCCTTCTCCTCCCCCATTTCTGAAGAAGGGTCCAGACCCGAAACGTCAGCTTTCCTGCTCCTCTGCTACTTGGCCTGCTGTGTTCATCCAGCTCTACACCTTATTATCTCAAATTCTCCATCATCGGCAGTTCCTACTATCTCTGAATAAATTAAAATAGATGTTGGAATTAATATAGCATGTTAACAGGGAGTTTTCTTCCCTAACCTATCTGAATTCTGCTGCAAGGACAGGCTTGAACATCAACATTCTTACTAGGAAGAACAGTTGAAGCATGAGGAATTGGATTTGTCGAATTGTTTCCAAGTTTCAAAAAAATCATATTTGAATTGTGCTTCGTTACAGCTGTATTATAACTTCAATTGTCATTCAATGATGCTTCAGACGGAATAATGCAGGACAGAGAACTGAGGTAGAAGATCAACTTTGATCTTGTTAGTTAAAGCAGTACTGAAGGGCTGAATGTTATACTCCTGTTTTTATTGTACATCTTGAAAGGGGAAGATAAATATTTAGAACAGTACAATAAGACAGTGCTAGCTTTGGGCACTTCTATCCAATATGTATTGCGGATGTTACTTAGGTTGACTGAGGTGCATTGTCCGCAGCGTAGCTTTGCACTGTTTCAATTCTGTATGAGGTTGGGTAATGTGGTCTAAATTTCATAACTTATTTAATAGATGACCATTTTCATATAGCTAAGACATCTTAGCTCATTTACAAAGGGGCCACAGTTTATGCAGCTAGAGATTATTAAATAGTTATGTAAACTGTGTTGCCAGGAGAACACTGAATGTGGCAAATTATTGCTAAGCCATAAATCTAGACTTCAGAAATGGCTTTTTATTAAGGTTGTGGTTCGTTAACATCAATGAATAAGACCGGATGGAAGAAACAACTAGAGTATTGATTTGAAGTAGTACAAATTTTCTACAAGGAGCAAACTAACCTGTAGAACTGCTGTCATATTAATCTAGCACAACAGTCATGCTATAGAGAAGGAAAAAAACCATGGTTTTGTCCATATTTCTGCAGTTAGTGTGATGAGTATTATGCAGCTTCTATTTAGATTAAAATCAGTCTGTTGACATAATACACAAACATTCATGTGAAACGTGAAGTTCCAACAGACTTCAAGTAATTGAAAAACACTGGAAATACTTAGCAGCTGTGTTTGTAGAGGGAACATAGAGTTTGGTATGAGCAAGTGAAAATGCTATTCCAAAATGAGTTTCTCTAAAATTGAATGCTGGAAGATTGAGTGAAAACATCAACCAAGTCTGCAAGTCCAGCTCGTCCCTGCCTCCCTAACCTGTTCTTCCTCCCACCTATCCCTTCCTCCCACCTATCCCCTCCTCCCACCTCAAGCCGCACCTCCATCTCCTACCGACCAACCTCATCCCACCCCCTTGACCTGTCCGTCCTCCCTGGACTGACCTATCCCCTTCCCAACTCCCCACCTACACTCACCTTTCCTGGCCCCATCCCCGCCTCTTCGACCTGTTTGTTTCTTCTCCACCTATCCTCTCCTCTATCCCTCTTCTATCCGCCTCTCACTCTCTCCCTATTTATTTCAAAACCCCCTTCCCCTCCCCCTTTTCTGATGAAGGGTCTAGGCCCGAAACGTCAGCCTCTCTGCTCCTATGATGCTGCTTGGCCTGCTGTGTTCATCCAGCCCTGCACCTTGTTGTCCTGCAAGATTCTTATTAACTTTAATCCTTACCTAATGATTGCTGGAGCAGAACATAAGCGCGTTTCAAACTCCCAAAATGAGGTTTGGAATTAGTGAAGTTCAATATATTTACATTCAATAAAATCTTGTCAAAAGAATGTTGCTAAAGTCCATTATTGCATTTGTTAAATAGCTGGAGGCTGAAAATAACTTTTAATGAATGCTTTCAATAACAAATAACAATTACCAAACTGATCATATTTGCAGTATCCTTAACTGTAACCTTTCTCTACTGCTCATCAGTTGGCTAGGATGAGCTGCTGCTTAAGATCATGAAGAAAGAGCTTACGTTAATCTTTATTTTCCTTTACTAATTTAACCTTCCATCCTATCTACTTACAGAAAGTTTTTAATTTTGGCTCTATTTTCTATTGGTATTTATTTATTTACAGTTCACTTACTTTGCTTTCAATGCAGGGGTGAGACATTAACCAGTGGAGTTTATTTTCTGCATTGAAGGCACAACTGCAAATTATGTCATCGCATCAAACATGTATAAGTCTGCATAATGCTTGGGGAGAAAGACCAGCATTCAAACACCCAGCAAAACAAATGTAAACTTCAAGATCTGTGTTAGCGCAATATGATATATTTACTTTGGTCTTCAGTTTCTAATTGATTGAAGTTAACTACCTGAACTAATTCAACTAAACATTGGCAAAGTTATTATTTAGCAATGCTGTAACATTAACTATGGTTGCTTGGCAATGCAAAATCAGCAATAACATTGTAAAGGGTTAATTATGCATTAAATTGTTTGGTTGTCACCAGAATTCGTATTTGGAACATGGGGTAATTGGATATCAAATGTAGCATAAGTTCTTCTTTGGAGAGGAACAAGTGATTGAGACTATGGATAAAGTACAACCAATTTAAAATAAACACCCATCAAGCAGTTTCATTTCACCATTAGGGGAAGCAAATTAGATGTGTCCATTTATTTCTGATTAGGGGAAAATGTTATATATGTAAATATTTAACTTGTTCCTCTGTTTAAGAGTTAGAATGGGGTGGGGTGGGGGTAAGAATTGGTACTTGGAACAAAATGATTCAACTAAAAAAAATTCCTGGTTGCTTTGTGCAAATAAAATATCTCCTAATTCAAGTGTATGTTGGAGATCAACTTGTATCAAGCTAGAATAATCATTGTGAAAAGGAAATGTTTTCTATAACATTATTTTTATAGTCTTGGAGCAGGGGTAAACAACAATCATTTCATTGTACTTCCAGCTACAAATGAGGACTGGATAGAATGGGAAAGCTACTGCCTTATTTTCTTGTTTAGGGTCTTCAAACAATCAAAATTAAGCTAGAACATGAAATACACATAATTAGTACAGTTTTTGGTTCAGTGGTTTTGTAGGAGATAGTAACTGGGATACTTTATATCAAAAATAAGGGATTATTGGTTTTCAAGTTAATAAAAGCTTTGATACCATACATTGCTATTTGTTCCTTCCATGCCAGACCAATTCTATCAACAGCAAAACTGCTGCAGTTAAATATTTTTGTCGCTAGTTTTTCCACATAGTATCAAATACTAAACTGGGATGTTCAGGTTTTCTTCAGAATTATCCTATACATTGATTCTACATGAAAAAATTACAGCACATATGGTGATTGCAGCCTTTCTAAAACAACCCATTCAGCAAGAATAGCATATCTATTTTTGCCATTGAATTAGCTTCAGGTTACTGAAGGAATACTAGTCCCTAAAGTGATAATCATCATCTGAATAGTGTGACTTCCAGGGAGGTTGGATCCAGCAAGGAATTCTTCATCTGCTTCAAATGTTTCTAGTGGAATGTGAACACACTTCAAATTCCACTTATACAACAATGATTCAATTGACCAATCAGCACTGGAAGAAAAAAAATTATAGTAAAAGGACATTTACAGCAAAAGTGCATATCTCCTGCAACCCAAACGTTTCTCATTTGCAGTGAGGTTAATAATGTAAAGTTTTAAGAGTGCCATGTTGGACGGTCTAGAATAATGAAAATTGGCATAATATCCCATTGGATTGTGGTATCCTAGGAATAGAAGTGGAATTAATACAGTAGAATTGAAGTGCAAAATGTACTGGTATGAAAAGTGGGAAACAATTTAAATATGCCCCAAAAATCACCTATGTCCACTTGCAAAGAAATTCAAATGGCTTCACCAGCTGCATACCATTGTTTCTGCTTGAGTGTTATTGGGAAAATATACTTGTGAATGGAACAGCTTAGGTTAAACTATAGGTTTGTGTTGATATATTTGCTCCATTGCACTATTTATTCAATTGTGCAATGCAATGGAATTTCATTTTTTTTTCTTAAAGATTTTGGTGCAGTTCTGATAAGAAAATAGTTTCAGCAGTAAACATTTTATTATGATGTCAGGATTCTGCCTTCAAATATACAACAAAAAAGTTAATTCAATTAGTGCATACCAGTCAGTTTCTGAAAATTATTTATTCAGAAAAATCTTTTAATGTACTGATAAGGCATTTGCCCTATTAATTTCCCTAAACTAATGCCTCAGCTGAAAATGGCAATGTCTTGACTGAGAGTGTGATTTCTTACATAGAAGTACTTCTGTTAAAATATAAATGCAATCAAGCGGGTGAACTTGTTAGCCTGTTCTACAAAGCTTGTGAGTTTAAGCTACAGCCAGACAGAAAGCCAGTATCTCCCTTCTCGTTGGCTAGCAGATGGTCTAAGCAACTGGCAATAGAAATATTACACAAGGGGAAGAATGCCTCAATTCCATAAACCGGAAGTTTTTATTATTCAGTTGGAATAATTATCAACTGAAAATTTTACATTGAAATAGTACTTCAATCAAAAATGCTAATAAAAGGGATTTAAAATGTTGTTCAGGCACAAGTAGTAATTTAAAAACTTACCTACGTTCCTGATACGTGGTCCAGAAAAGTGCATGTGGATTTTTTCGGATGAGGTAAAAAATTGTTGTTAATATATTCTCAAAGTCTATTTTTTAAAAAGAAAGACAACATTATTTTCTAGTTTGTCACATTCATCAATAAATTGATAAGAAATTAAGCTTAATGTCTGTCAGCACAAACGTGAAAGTTATCTTAAAATTTCCAGGAACCTTAAACTACATGCAAAGCAGGCTAAGTAGCATCAGGGGAGCAGGAAAGCTGACGTTTCGGGTCCGGACCCTTCTTCAGAAATGGGGGAGGGGAAGGGGATTCTGAAATAAATAGAGAGAGAGGGGGAGGTGGATGGAAGATGGATAAAGGAGCAGATAGATGGAGAGGAGACGGACAGGTCAAGGAGGCGGGGATGGAGCCAGTAAAGGTGAGTGTAGGTGGGGAGTTAGGGTGGGGGTTGGTCAGTCCAGGGAAGACGGACAAGTCAAGGAGGCGAGGATGACGCTGGTAGGTAGGCGGTAGGGGTGGGGTTTGAGGTGGGAGGAGTGGATAGGTGGGAGAAAGGACGGACAGGTTAGGGGGATAGGGACGAGATGGGCTGGTTTTGGGATGCGGTCGGGGGCGGGAGGATTTTGAAGCTTGTGACGTTCACAATTTTACCATTGTGCTGCAGGGTTCCCAAGCGGAATATGAGGTGCTGTCCCTGCAACTCCCCACCATCCTTGCCACTTTTCCCTGCAACCGCAGGAAGTGCTACACCTGCCCCCACACCTCACCCCCATTCCAGGACCCAAGAAAACCTTCCACATCAAACAGATGTTCACCTGCACATCTGCTAATGTGGTATACTGTATCCGCTGTTCCCGTTGTGGCCTCCTCTACATCAGGAAACCAAGCAGAGGCTTGGAGACCGCTTTGTGGAACACCTACGCTCAGTTCGTGACAAATGACTGCACTTTCCAGTCGCGAACCACTTCAACTCCCCCTCCCACTCCTTGGACGACATGTCCATCCTGGGCCTCCTCCAGTGCCACAATGATGCCACCCGAAAGCTGCAGGAACAGCAACTCATATTCCGCTTGGGAACCCTGCAGCACAATGGTAAAATTGTGGACGTCACAAGCTTCAAAATCTCCCCGCCCTTGACCGCATCCCAAAACTAGCCCAGCTTGTCCCCACCTCCCTAACCTGTCCGTCCTTTCTCCCACCTCAACCCCCACCCCCACCTCCTACCTACCAGTCTCATTCCCGCCTCCTTGACCTGTCCGTCTCCTCTTCACCTATCTGCTCCTTTATCCATCTTCCATCTGCTTCCCCCTCTCTCTCTATTTATTTCAGAATTCCCTTCCCCTCCCCCATTTCTGAAGAAGGGTCCAGACCCGAAATGTCAGCTTTCCTGCTCCTCTGATGCTGCTTGGCCTGCTTTGTTCATCCAGCTCTACACCTTGTTATCTCAGATTCTCCAGCATCGGCAGTTCCTACTATCTCTGCAACAAGTAGTAGTTAAGGTAAATTTAAGCATATTTTGGGGGAAAAAACCGCAAAAATATTGCAGGTAATCAAGTACTATGCATTCAAATCAGCAGGTATGAAGAGAAACTGCCAGATTGCTAACTTTTCACCTGATATCTGCAGATTGTGCCAGAGATGGATAGGGTAAACAGACAAGGACTTTTCCCCAGATGCTGCCAGCCCTATTGAGTTTTGCCAGTAATTTCAGCTTTTGTTTTAGATCTCCATCATCCACTGTTCTTTGTTTTATTTTGGTGTTCAGTAACTTGATGGAGCATTTGAATAGCAAGTTCTGCTTCATGGTTAATTGTGTTGATTTTAACAATCTGCATTTATGCTGCACTTTTTAACTTGTAAAAACATTCCCAAGTGTTTTACAAGGAAATGAAAAGAAATCTGCCAAATTTTGTGTCCAGGCAGTTAACTGAAACTTGCCTAAGTGGAATTTGATGAAAAGGAGTTTTTATAATCTGTCAAAGTTATATGCTGTGAAATTCTGTTTTCCCTCTAAGATAAATATAGCAGTAACTAACATTATTTGGTCAATCCAAAACATAAGAAAATCCTTTCTATCGTAATGTAGAAGTATAGGCTTTGTAAATATTAAACCTTTACCTTCAGTGTCATAAAACACATCAGAACCCAGAATTATGTCTATCTGCGGTAACAACACGAGATCAGGGGATATTTGCCCCCAGGTTAAACCGATGACCGGCACATCCTCAAGTTTATTAATCTGGCAACTGAGGCGGCAGTTATTCAAGCAATTTGGAATCTCTGCACCATCCGATAAAATCACACTGGCACCACATTTTGCTGCCACTATGCCAGGTAAGCCCGCACCAGCTCCAATCTGAAAACAAAATTAATTCCTGCATTATTGCATATTGAAAATATTACACTTTGAATATAATTTTAAAAGTCTATTTTTGTAATTTTAAAGTATTGCAGCTTTTTATTTGCAAATGGAATCACAATGTTTTTATACAGGTCAATTAATCTAGCAAGATGTGTAAATGGTGACAAATACAACAGCAGTGATTTTTGGAAGAAAATACGTGAAGTACTAATCTTTATGATATAACAATACATTATTTAAAAAGCTGTGTGATTCCAATTTTAAGAATTTGAATGCAATTTTGCATAAGCATCGGGTAATGTTTTAAAGTATCATACCTCTTTCTATCCTTTTTAAGAGACCAGCTCAGAAGTTGCCTGATATGCTAACTTTTTGGTGGAAATTTTGTAAACCATTTCCTTATAAGGGTCAGAGATAGTAGGAACTGCAGATGCTGGAGAATC